TTTAGGGGGTAGAATCAAAACTACATTTGACTTTTGAACCATGCAGGTCCACTTATGTGTAGATTTTCTTTGATACAGTACACTACTGTAAATGTATTTTCTCTTCCTTACGATTTTTTTTTTTAAAGATTTTATTTCTTTACTTGACAGAGAGAGACACAGCAAGAGAGGGAACACAAGCAGGGGGAGCGAGAGAGGGAGAAGCAGGCTTCCCGCGGAGCAGGGAGCCCGATGTGGGACTCAATCCCAGGACCCTGGGATCATGACCTGAGCCGAAGGCAGACGCTTAACGACTGAGCCACCCAGGCGCCCCTGTTATGTGTATTCTATACTGCATCGTAATAAACTGGAGAAAAGAAAATGCTAAGAAAAGCATAAGGAAGGGGCACCTGGGTGGCTCAGTCGTTAAGCGTCTGCCTTCGGCTCAGGTCATGATCCCAGGGTCCTGGGATTGAGTCCCACATCGGGCTCCCTGCTCTGCGGGAAGCCTGCTTCTCCCTCTCCCACTCCCCCTGCTTGTGTTCCCTCTCTCGCTGTGTCTCTCTCTGTCAAATAAATAAATAAAATCTTAAAAAAAAAAAATAGAATACACATAACATACAAAATGTGTATTAATAGACTATTCATGTAATCAATAAGATTTCCAGTCAACAGGAGGCTATCAGTGGTTCAATTCAGGGAGAGTCAAAGGTTATATGTGGATTTTGGACTGTGTGCTGAGGTGGGGGAGGGCAGCACCCTTAATGTCTGCATTGTTCAAGGGTCAGTGTACTTGGTGATGGATGGGATGTGGGAGGTAAAGAAGAGGAAGCCAAATATGACTATGTCATATTTGCAGGCACACTGTTCTTGTTTTTGTTCCTGGAACATACCAAGCAAGTTCTTGCCGTAGGGCTGTGTACTGGGTTTCCCTTGTTTACCCCAGATGGTTACATGGCTGTCTCCTCTGCATTCAGATCCCAACACAAAGTCAGCTCCTTAACATGCCTTCCCTTCCTACCCTTCACATAGCCACGGTCAGCCAGCTTGCCGGCCTTCTCTAGGATGCTTCCGTGTTTTAGTTTTTTCATCATTTATCACAATTATCTTATTCTATTTTATGCCATCCTGTCTATTCACTCAACCCCATTAATGCAGACATCTTGTCTGTCTTGCTTATCACTAAATCCTATTATTTGAAAAGAGTCTGGCAAACAGAAACCACTTGATAAATAGGGAGTTTATCTCTTGCCATTTCTCCTCCCATTCTAAGTTCCAGCCTTAATGAACAAATTACAGTGCTCTAAATATGCTGCTTCCTCGGTGTAGAATTCCTTCCTCATCCTTTCTTCTTTTTGCTAATTCCGCATTGCCCCTCAAGACTTTTTTTTTTTTTTTAATTTTATTTATTTATTTGACACACAGAGAGAAAGCACAAGTAGGCAGAGAGGCAGGCAGAGAGAGAGGCAGAAGCAGGCTCTCCACTGAGCAGGGAGCCCGATGCGGGACTCGATCCAGGGACTCCAGGATCATGACCTGAGCCGAAGGCAGTCGCTTAACCAACTGAACCACCCAGGCGCCCACCCCTCAAGACTTTTTTATAACATTGCATTGCCTCATCTGTTTTCCAGCTGGAGAGAAGCACGTTGAGAACATGATATATTCCAAACACCTGGCCAAGATACGTAGGTAGATAACAGGCACTTGATAAATGTGTATAATGATCACCTGGAAGCTTCTTAGAAATGCAGACTCCTAGTCTGCATGTCAGATGAGCTGAATGACAATCTCTATTTAGCAAGGTCTCTAGGTGATTCATTTTCACATTAAAATTTGAGGAGCACTACTTTAGTGATGATAATACACAGCTTAAGTTTCACTAGGAGGCCTTGCAGTGATCCACAAAGCCAGGTATTGTGAAGAAAAGGGCATGGCACTGGGAATCCCACGAACCGGGCTGGGTTTTTTTTGTTTTTTTGTTTTTTAATTGTATTAGTTACCTCATTTAAGTGGTTGTTGTGAAATAGTAAGTTTGAAAGGCTTGGTACATGTTTGATGTTTAATAAATCAGAGTATCTCTCTCCCCTGGAAAATTCCAAGACTGGTAACTGGGAGATCTAGCCTCTAGATCTGATATTGTCACCAATTCACTAAATCATGGCACATAGAGTTAGAAGGAACTCTAACCTTACCTATGTAAATATCTATGTAAATATGCCATATCTATGTAAAGATATCTATGTAAAGATTTACATAGATACCATTTATTTTCTTTAATTTTTTTAAAGATTTTATTTATTTATTTGACAGAGAGAGACACAGCGAGAGAGGGAACACAAGCAGGGGGAGTGGGAGAGGGAGAAGCAGGCTTCCCGCCAAGGAGAGAGACTGATGCGGGGCTCAGTCCCAGGACACTGGGATCATGACCTGAGTTGAAGGCAGACGCTTAATGACTGAGCCACTCAGGCGCCCCTAGGTACCATTTATTTTAGCAACCTTGTGTTACAGATACAGAAACTAAGACTCACAGCTAGACTGGAGGTCAAGTTGTCCGAGTTTAGTGCTCTGCCATACAGCTTCCTCATTTGTAAAATTAGGAAATAATACCCTCTCCTATTTGTCTCATAGGTTGCATCTAATCTTTTGTTTGTGAGAGCTCTTTAAAAGTGCAAAGTATAATTATTACTGTTTTTTAATTCTAGACCATATTATACATGTTGGGATTCGTAAGATTTCCTTCCATCAAGCAAATTAGAGATTAATATGTATTAAATTCTAAGTTCACACTTTTGAAAAAGGATAAGAGTTCGGAGGAATGGCTACTATTCTAATAGTTAACAATATTCAGTCTATCATTAAACCACTTAAATCTCTTTATAACACGATATCTAAGCCTCAGAGGATGGATTGCTTACTTTAATCAAAATAAAATTCCAAAAGAAAAAAGAAGCTATTTTATGTAATCAACAGTTTAAGATTTTTACTTGAATGGGGGCAAAAGGAATGCACAGGAATGTCTCCTCTTTGTAATGACTTCAGTGCTAGAGTAAATAAAGCAATAGTTTTGCAGGATTTCCTTTCCTTTGGTGCCTGCGGTCCTTGGTCACCGCTTTGAAGAATGAAGAGGTCGCCCAGACCAAGTAGTGGGCAGCAAAGCAAAGTTCATTGATAGTAAAGGGATAGTACAGAACTCCGGAAGAGAGAGGGGACCTGAGAGGGCTGCCATCAGCTTTTTAAGTCTAGGGGTTTTTGTTTTGTTTTGTTTTGTTTTTAGATTTTATTTATTTATTTAACAGAGAGAGAGAGAGAGAGATAGGGAGAGCAGGAACACAAGCAGGGGCAGTGGGAGAGGGAGAAGCAGGCTTTCCACCAAGCAGGGAGCCCGATGCGGGGCTCGATCCAAGGACCCTGGGATCATGACCTGAGCCGAAGGCAGACGCTTAACGACTGAGCCACCCAGGCGCCCCAGTCTAGGGGTTTTTAATGGGCTTGTTGGAGGGCTGTTTTAATCTGATTAACCCTCCCTATGCCTGTCATCCAACTAGGTTTTTGTCATCTATTTATCACGTGGGCAAGGGTGGAGGGCTCCTACCAGGGGATGTAAAATCCTTTAAAGGGTGGTTTCCTCTTAGGGCAGGGGCAGCTTGTCCCTGCACACCTTTCTTCCACCTATCCTTCATCAATAGATTTCATGAGAAAAGGAAACTTGAGTGAATATTCCTAGATCTGTTTTCAGTGACAATGAGATTATTGAAACAAGTAAGAAAAAATGTCCCATCTCAGCCCCCTCCCCCCAACCTCTCCAGGAGTTTACATATAAATCCTAGGTTGGCCCTTTACTTCAGGGCTTCTATTCTGAATGCTTCATTCCCTTCTCTGATCTTGGTCATTTCTACTGATCCTCTTCCTTGAAGGGAAGGGAAGGTTTCTGCAGGCTCAAGGTAGGGGGCTGGTTTATTTTGGCATGGGGCTGGATGTTGAGCCAGGGAGAAGAGGTCAGCAACAACTCCTAGCCCACTTAACTGGAAGAGTCAGGAGGCCTGGGCATTTGCTCTGCCAATGACCTTGAGTGAATCACTTGACACCCAGGCTTCCTGTCCCACAAATAGGAGGTTGCACTAAATAGCTTCCCGTGGTAAAAATCTGATCCTATAGGTGGCCCTAGCACTAGCAGTTCTAAACACAAGAGGTAAAGGGAAATATTAAAAGAAAAGAAATGGTGAGATATAAGAGGCTGGGAATAGAAAAGAAAAAGTTCTGGGGCGCCTGGGTGGCTCATTGGTTAAGCGTCTGCCTTCGGCTCGGGTCATGATCCCAGGGCCCTGGGATCGAGCACCACGTCGGGCTCCGTGCTCGGCGGGAAGCCTGCTTCTCCTTCTCCCACTCCCCCTGCTTGTGTTCCTGCTCTCACTGTCTCTCTCTGTCAAATAAATAAAAATCTTAAAAAAAAAAAAAAGAAAAGAAAAAGTTCTCGGTGAGGCTTAATGTGGATGCTAAGGAGTTGCCATCCCTGGGGTAAAAATGGATTGGTGGGGATGGAGATGAAAAGGCTTTACTTCTATTCACTTTTAGAATTTTAATCTCAACCATCATTTTGCCGGCAGAGTGCACACCTAATGCAGCCGAACTGCATGGCGCCGTGTCCTGTTCTTAATGATCTTGACTTAAGCCCATCGTTGCATAGTACCCTTTGGTTACAGAAAATTTCCAAGTAGATAAAGCAAGGTGACCTCTGCATTTTGTTCTCCTGTTAGGTTTCGTAGGGTTTTAGAAGGACAAGCAACCCCGCAGGAGTAAACGGGAAGGGCAAAAAGCAGGAGGAGGGATCGGCAGGACTGGATGAGGCAGGCGGTCCGCGAAGCGTGCTGGGCGTTCCAGGGCGTCCCCGGACTCGGCGCGGGACGGGCGGGGTCGGCGCACGGACTGCATTTCCCAGGCTCCGCCGCCCCGTCTGGCCCCGCCCCCTCCGCCGCTGCGACCCCGCCCCCTCCACCCCGGGCTGCGCGGCGCGGCGCGGCCCTGCTCGGCTCCGCTCGGCTCGGCGCCCGCCCGACTTCCCAGCGGCCCCGTGCGGCCCGGGCATGCCCAGTGCGGGCGCAGCGGCCCCGGCCCTGGGAGCGCCCGGGCGGGAGCTGGCGGCCGGGAGCGGAGGGTCCAATAGGAGCCGAGTGGGCCCGCGTTGGACGAGGGGCCGGGTGGGCCGGAGCCGCGGCGGCGGAGCGGCCGGGTAAGTGCAGACTGGCCGAGCCAGGCCACTGGCGCCGCGGCGGCTGGGGCCCTGCGAGGCCCTGCGAGGGCCCGAGCGCGGGCGTGCGTGGTTCCGGGCAGGGGCTTCGGGAGGGGAACCCTAGCAGGAAGGTTCTGGCCCGACTCGCAGCGTCGCGCGAGACGGTGCCCGAGGTGCGGCGCGTCTATGTTTAGCTCTGCGTGTGACCGGAGGTGAGCGTGCTCCGCACCTCGTGCACGGCTGGGTTCCTGGGGGGAAACTATGTTTCCGGTCGAAATTGGCAAGGAGCTACGGCGGAGACGGGTCCGAGCTGACCGGTGGACTTGGAGCCGTCTGTGGAGCCCTCGAGAGAAGCGAGGATGCTCACCCTTTCTGCCCCTGGTGTGGGCCAGAACAGCTTCCTCCTTTCCGGACTTGGGTTTGGTGGCTTAGAAATGAAAGAACAGGATTGTGCCTCAGAGGATGCTTAACAAGCTCTAATGACTATTCGGCATCTAAAGGCCACCTGTGTTTCTAGGTTCAAGAGAAGTGGCCCATGGGATGCTCGGGTTAAACAAACTCATTGCAAAGTTTGAGTAAAAAGAAGTCCCGACTGAGGGTTAGAATGCCAGCGTTTTTGAAGTTTGCAGTAGCCTTTCATTTGCTGTAATCTTGGGCAGGCATTTAACCTCGGAGACTCCAGTTCCTGCATCTGTAAAGTGATGACAACCAGATGCATCTTCTTTCCTTCCAACTCAGTTGTAAAGTTCCCCCTGTGTGGTCTTAAATTGTGGCAAGTTCTGTTTTTCTCCATGCCTCAGCTTTTTGTTAAACCGGGCAATTCATCAAGTATCCGTGAAGGAAGGCTGCTAGGGTCTCAATACAGAATTGAGTGACTTGTCCTTCGACGGCCGCTGTTGGTTAGTAGGTAACCTGCCCCTTGTACGTGCGGAAGCCAGGTGTTAATGGCCACGGTTCAGATAACCCAGCTGTTCTGCTGGACTAGGACTGCCGTGCTTCACGCTCTTTGTCAGTGGCCTGTGAGAAATCCAGACTCAGTGATTGGCTTCCTCAAACTCCCAAGCTAGCTCAGTCTTTAGTGGGATTGTGTTTATATAGAAGTTACTGTTTTTCTGTTATTACACCTATTCAAGAAGACCTGTGAAGAATTTTAATATCCTTAATTTACAGAGGAGGAAGTAGCTGGTTAAGAATGAATCCGTGAGGGCGCCTGGGTGGCTCAGACGGTTAAGCGTCTGCCTTCGGCTCAGGTCATGATCCCAGGGGTCCTGGGATCGAGTCCTGCATCGGGCTCCCTGCTCCTTGGGAGCCTGCTTCTCCCTCTGCTTCTCTCTCTCTCTCTCTGTCTCGCATGAATAAATAAATAAAATCTTAAAAAAAAAAAAAAAAGAATGATTCCGTGATAGTCTTCAGAAACTGGTATCATGTACTGAATAGTTACTGTTCACCTGACAGTGAGTTACCCTGTCACCCTGAGGTGTTTTTGTTTTTAAGTGGAGTATTCACAGAAGTTTCTGAACCCTAGAAACTTCTTTATCTGAAGTAATAGGATTTGACCCCAGGAGCAGATGGTATATACGGTGTTGTGCAAGTTGTCCAGGTACCTTCCTACTGCAATATTCCCTGCTCTTCTGGTTCTGGGTGGCAGTAGTCCAGTTGGGTCAAGGTACAGTTTGAAGTGGTTATATGTGTGAGGGAAAATGTGCTTATGTTTTGAAATGGGAGTTTTATACAAGGTGCTTGTGAAACTGTCACAATTTTTGAAGCGAGGTTTCTCATTCACCTGAGAAATACCTAAAATGAGAAAGCTGTAGTGTTTTAAGGAATATTTATACACGGAACTTTTTTGACCTGATTTATATTCCACGGTTTCTTGCATGTTTATTAAAATTGTGTGTGTATATATGTATATATTTAAAGTTGGAAAACATGGGGAGGCCTATTTGGTCGTCTAGGTGGGCGATTTCACATTGTACCTTAAGCTTACTTGTGTGCCAAAGGACCCTGTGTGTGAAGTGCATATTTAGTCATTTTTGCCAGAACCTTCCTCTTGCTCTTGTATTTTCATTCAAGCGTTTGAGGTTCTACATCAAGTATAACTACCGCTTAGGAGGATACTGAAATGTAATTATCACTCATTTCCAAATACGCAAGTATTTGGGATGTGTAGGAGGGATGGTTTGGACATCAAGGCCCAGAGAGGAGACTCCTGGACTGAGAGCACATTTACCCCCACGTAAAAGTGGAAGGAAGGGTGGGAAGTGACTTAAAAATTGTATTGCTTTCAGGTTTCCGCAGTTACAGGTATACCTTCATTAGTTCCCTGTGTTCCTATCTATGGGAGTGCCCGAATCTGTTACACTCCTGGTAGAGATGCAAGTATGTGGAAAAGTCCTTAGGTAGAAATGTACGTGAAGTAACTTACCTGGAAGATACCTATTTGTTGCCCCATTATGCTCCATCTGTTTCTAGGTCCTTCATGATGAAAGATTTTGAGACGCTGCTTCCTCCTCTGTGTAGTTGGTAGTTCGGGTGGCGAAGAGATGGCTGACAGTGTCAAGACCTTTCTCCAGGACCTTGCCAGGGTGAGTACATCGCTGTGTCATCTCTTGATCTTTTTTTTTTTTTTTTAAAGATTTTATTTATTTATTTGACAGAGAGAGAGATAGCGAGAGCAGGAACACAAGCAGGGGGAGTGGGAGAGCGAGAAGCAGGCTTCCTGCCGAGCAGGGAGCCCGATGTGGGACTCCATCCCAGGACCCTGGGATCATGACCTGAGCCGAAGGCAGACGCTTAACGACTGAGCCCCCCAGGCGCCCCATCTCTTGATCTTTTTGCTGCAGGAACTGACTAGGAGATCCTTTAGGTTTTTTGGGGGGGGCAGTTTTTGTTATATTTGTTGGGTCCCTCACCTATAGGTTTTCATTCTCATCCACACTACTCGGGAGATTAAGTATTATCTTGCATCTTCCAGAAGCTTGGGAAAGCTGTCTAGTGAGTGTCTCTAGTATTGGAACCTTGGTTAGTTTGACTCCAGAGCCTTTTTTTCAAAAAAGTTTCTATTTTGGAATAATTTTGGACTTACAGAAAAGTTGCAAAATAGTACAAAGAGTTGCCCTATATCCTTCACCAGCATCAAGTTATTCTATGCAACCATGGTCTGCTGGCCAAAATTAAACAATGAACATTGATAGAATACTATTACTTGAACTACTTTATTCCTATTTACATTACAGAACCTACTTTCTCCCCATTCTGCATGGTGCAGATGACGATGCTCTAGGAAAATGTCCCGTAAAGATCTGTTTAGGACTTAGTAACCCAAATTAACCAATAGCAGAAAATTCCATTATAGTGTGTGTCTGAGGCTTAATGCCCTGGTTGTAGCCCCTGTAGCTATATCCTTGGGAGCAGGGGGCTCCTTCCTCAGTGGGAATGCTTAAAAGTTTATTACCTTTGAGTAAAAGAGGGGGAATTGAAGGAGTATCTTAGAAGGGTCAAAGAGACTTAATGCAATGAGATTTTTTTTTTTTTTTTTAAGATTTTTATTTATTTATTTGAGAGAGGGAAAGGGAGCATGAGCAGGGGGAGGAGTAGAGGGAGAACCAGACTCCCCACTGAGCAGGGAGCCTGATATGGAGGCTCTAGGGGCTTGATCCCAGGACCCTGGGATCATGACCTGAGCCAAAGGCAGACACTTAACCAATTGTAAGCCACCCAGGCGCCCTGAGATCTACTTTTAATAACTTTACCTCATCTTGCCATTCTTGTGCTATAAAATTTCAACCCTAGATCAGTTCTACAATGCACTGTTAATGTTTGTCTGACCCAGTTAGACTGTAAGCATTCAGGGGTGGGAATCCTGTCATCGTCTTAGCACATACAAGGCCCTCAGCCCTTTGAACTTCACTACCTTAAATATTTAAACAGTTTGTGGAAGATTTAGAAGTTAAAAGCAAGATAAACCTCTACTTGCAGATAAAAAGATCAGGTGCACACTGTGCCAATTTATGCTGTCGGTGGTTAGTACATAACCACTTGGCCCATTCCCATTTTTCTGTATCCTGGCAGTTATCTCCAAAATTTGTTAGTAGCTAATAATAGGTAAAAATGCCATTTTTTAGTCCAGATTGGCCTTTGCTTCCAGAATGTTTTGTTTTTTTTTTTAAAGATTTTATTTATTTATTCATGAGAGACAGAGAGAGAGAGAGGCAGAGGGAGAAGCAGGCTCCCAAGGAGCAGGGAGCCCGATGTGGGACTCGATCCCAGGACCCTGAGATCATGACCTGAGCCGAAGGCAGACGCTTAACCATCTGAGCCACCCAGGCGCCCCAGAATGTTTTTTTTTCCACCTATTCTTTGTGAGGTTGAATATCCCGGTGCTACCAATCCATTTTGGACATAAATCTGTTGTGGCACATATTTTAAACTATTTTTGTTGTTTTTTGGTTGTATACTTGTCCTGGTAGGCTACCCGTTTCTTGAGCGTTTTCATGTGACCAATGTCTAGCTCACTGAGGATGCTTAACATGTGGGTGGATGGATGGATGAATGAAGTTTTTGGAACTGGGTGATAGGCTATTCTGGGGTTTGTAGCACTAACTTTTCCACTGTTGGAGCTCTTTCAATATGGTGGGCAAGTGCCCCTGTCACTGTCTTTATAGACTTAACAACCCTCTCCCCCTTCATACACTCCTTAAGGACATTCTTTCCTCTAGCTATACTACCATGTTGTTTCTGTTTTATGTGGCATGCTCTCATCCTCCAGCTCTTACTGGATATCTTACAGTATTGATTTCTTTGTCCTTCCCTAACTGTGGTCCAGCCTCTGGTCCTTTCTAGAGACCAGTGTTTAATTTGTCCTTGTATCCCTGGAGTTTAGTAGTGATTTATACTATATTATACTCACTACTGAGGACCCTGGGATCAAGCCTGCATCGGGCTCCCTGCTCAGCCAGGAGCCTGTTTCTCCCTCTCCCTCTGCCACTTCTCCTGCTTGTGATCTCTTTTTCTCTGTCAACTTAAAAAAAAAAAAAGGGATACGCATTCTAATACGGGAAAAAATGTGTATATATACATGTAAATAATAAGTTAATTTAGCACATTTATTATTGGTAAATCTGGAGAAAGGATATTTAGAAGTTCTGTTCTTAGAACTGCTGTAAATTTTGAATTATATCAAGCTGTCAAGGCTCCCTTAAGCCATGTGGCAAAATAAGTTCAGTGGTTTCCACTGTTAACTTCACTTTATGTAACTTAGGGAAGTCTTCTGTGATCCATAATCCTTCCTCTTTAGAATAATACTTTAAAATACTTTAAAATAATACCCTTGTCTATAGGGAATCAAAGACTCCATCTGGGGAATTTGTACCATCTCAAAGCTAGATGCTCGGATTCAGCAAAAGAGAGAGGAGCAGCGTCGAAGAAGGGCAAGCAGTGTGCTGGCACAAAGGAGAGCCCAAAGTATAGAAAGGAAGCAAGAGAGGTAAGGAGTGGGGCTGATGTCAGGAAATGTCTGAGGGGGAGGGACTTCAGGAAGTGACTGGTCCTTAGTATAGAATTAAGACCCTATATAGTCACTTAGAATTTCAGTACCCCCTTGTTTGCTTTTTGCATTTTTGCATTTTTTTCCAAAAAATATTACAGGTGACTCTTCCCCCACCCCACCCCCCCCCGCCCCACATTGAATTAAACTAGGGTCTAGCAATCATGCTTGCTGAGAATGTCCTGGTGTTTTAAAAGACAGAATGGTGAATCGAGAACCACACACACACACAAAGAAGAAAAACTGCTTCTCTAGAAATATTTTTAGATTTTTCTCATTGACACTAGGAGAACATTGGGAGAATAATAGGTGCTAGAAAAATAACAGTAACAACAAAAGGTCTAAGGTGGGGAGTGACTGAATGATGATCTGGAAATAGCCTGTATATCTTATGAGCTAAATACATGTGGTCTTTTCCAGTGAGCCACGTATCGTTAGTAGAATTTTCCAGTGCTGCGCTTGGAATGGTGGAGTATTCTGGGTAAGTTCTTTTTCCTCAAACGCCAGGTGCCTTATCTTCAGGTTGTTGCTATGTTAATAGTTCTTGACTCTTGCCTTGAAACTGAAACAAGTAGTTTTCACGTGGTGATACATGCTCAAGACCATAACTGAGGAGTCTGTGCACCAGTGGTGATTTTATTCCCACACAAAGAACACTTGTATGTAAATGTTAGGGATAGCCCTAAATATACACTTTTATTTTTATTTATTTTTTATTTTATTTTTTGAGAGAGAACACAAACAGGGAGGCAGAGGGAAAGGGAGAGAATCTCAAGCAGGCTCCGTGCCCAGCACAGAGCCCAATGTGGGTCTTGATCCCATGACCCTGAGATCATGACCTGAGCCAAAATCAGGAGTCAGATGCTTAACCAGCTGAGCCACCCAGGCGCCTCTACACTTTTATTTAAAAAAAAAAAACGACTCTTTCACCAGTTTTAATGTTAAAAGAGTTCCTCTTGACATTGGACATTTTGGCTAAGAGCCACTATGGGAGATCATAAGGGAAGGGCAGAAGGACAGGGGCAAGGTTATCCTCTCATCTGGTCTTATCAATCTATTAGAATTGATTACTATTAAAACCCATACCAGAAAAAGTTACCTAGAGTTCATCAAGAGCCAACACAGACTTAAGGGAAGTTTAAGTACTTTGAAGAACAGGTAGTTAAATTTTTTTTTTTTTTTTGACTTGGAATTCAGTATAACTCAAGTTGTCTTGATCTAAACATTTCACAGATGTTTCCAGATGTTTAATAAAGTATTACTACGTATTTAGTATGTACCTGTGTTTTGGTCTGAACAATATTTGAAACGTTCATCTATGTCCTCAGGAGTCTCACTGTTTTCACAGGCAATGTCAGGTTTGTACCTTAGGGGAGTATTGGGAGATAGAAATAGCTCTCAGTTTTGGTGTCTCTTCAAGTTTCCTTGAAAAGTCACCTCTATCTGGAAAATAATGACACTGAAACTTGGAACTCTTGTTTTAAAGAAGAGCTGTTAATGTTTATTACTTCTTTCCCTTAGTTAAGTCTCCTCTTGTTTTATCGAGTGTTTATTCCTGTACTACAGTCGGTGACAGCCCAAATTATTGGTAAGTATATGCATTGCTGTGTGCCACCTGCCTGGGATGGGGGTGGGAAGTATTTCCCTGTCTCCCTCACTTCATGGAACACTACTGCGTACCAGGAGCTTTAGACGTTCTTAGCTCAAGCCTCTCAACCACCCTTTGAGTGGGTACTGTTACCAATAGCTTTTTTATGGTTGAGGAAATAGAAATTGGTTACTGAGGTTAAACCATTAGTAAGTGACAGAACTGGGATTGAAACTCGGGTAGTTTCCTGCATAGTGTGTGCTGTTAGGGACCTCTCAGTCACCACCAGGTAAGCAGCACAGATGGCTCCTCTGAATGAGAGCTGTGACTGGAGGTGGCTGTGTGTCCGAAGAGGACAGCTGTCTGAAATCTGTATGGTGATGCGCTGGCAGGAAACATAGGTGGGGGGTGGGGGGAAGAGTGACCACCTAGGAGTTCCATGTTTGGTCTTTAAACTGACAACTCTTTTCCCCCCCTTTTTTTAGGTGATCCATCACTACATGGAGATGTTTGGTCGTGGCTGGAATTCTTCCTTACGTCCATTTTCAGTGCTCTTTGGGTGCTCCCTCTGTTTGTGCTTAGCAAAGTTGTAAATGCCATTTGGTTTCAAGTAGGTCCATGGCAGAATGGAGTCTGGGTCCTGCAGCGTAATGGTTGATGGGTGGTGGGTTGATGGGTGGCAGGTTTTAGCCTGGTGGTTGGTGGCCATGCAGGGAATGATTTCATAGCCTTAACCTTTCTTGCTCATGCAGCCAGTGGGTGATCTTTGTGCACTTGTAAAATGGAATTATTGTCTCAGGCCACAAAAGCCTCCCTTGGCCAGATGTCCAGGAGCTTTTCTCACCTGGCAGATTTAATGGTAGACCAGCGACCTTAGCTTTGGGGGTGGGTGGTGAAGCCATCTTACTCATGTTTTGGTGAGCTACTTTCTCTGTTACAGGACATAGCTGACCTGGCATTTGAGGTATCAGGGAGGAAGCCTCACCCATTCCCTAGTGTCAGCAAAATAATTGCTGACATGCTCTTCAACCTTTTGCTGCAGGCTCTTTTCCTCATCCAGGTGAGACTGGCCTTCTGGGTACATGGGCAAATTTTGAAAAAAGGTTCGTTAAAAGGAGCTTCACAAAGACAGAGTATTGCATTTAAACTGGGGCAGATAAGCTTTATGGGAGGTAATGATTTTTAAATCATTTTTTCACAGAAACAACTAGAAAATTTAAAAATTGTAAAATAATAAGCAACATGAATTGACCTCCTCTTCCCTGCCCATGGGCATTCTCCACTCTCCTGCTGTCGAGAAACGTGAGGAGCATCTATGAGGCTGTATTACACAGGCAGAGGGGGATGACTCATGGTGGCGGGCGAAGAGTGTTCGGTCTTGAAGCTTTGGGATTCCAATTTCCCATATTTGTTCTTTAGGGGATGTTCGTGAGTCTCTTTCCCATCCACCTTGTTGGTCAGCTGGTTAGTCTTCTGCATATGTCCCTTCTCTACTCACTGTACTGCTTTGAATATCGTTGGTTCAATAAAGGTGAGTCCATCTAAAGAAACTCAGAAGTAGGAGGTCCAGTTTGGAAGTGCTGCTAAACGGACTTCTCGAGAACTGTTCAATACTTAGGCTCTTGGTAAACCATCTTTGGAAGGAAGCAGCCTCTTTGGCAAGAGGGAATTTACACTTGGTTTAGGGGGTTTAATCCGTAACTTTGATGCCGGGGGATGTGGCCATGTAACATTACCTTCATGGTGCTTAATGTGATGCAGCTCTGACTGAGCCATACAGTGGCATAAAGGAGCACGCATTTTCTTGAATTCGAGAAATCAATTTGATGTCCGTGCTTTCATATTCTTTGGGGGATGTTTTAAAGACCTTGGCATATTTGTCCAGTTGTCTATGGTTAGAAGAGGTTACTTGGTTTCTAGAGAATGGCTGCCTTTTTATTTGATACCTTACTTTGTTCAAGACTAATCATGACAAAGGATGCTGATGTTGTAATTCATAATTCCTAGCAGCTTTGAAATTGTGATTATTGAACTGAAACACTTCACACAGAAGCCTTATATCATTATTTGGACAATTCCAATTTATATGCTTTAACTGTTCCAAATGACAGATGTGTACCTAAAAACTCAAACCTCAAATAATTTGTCTACCGTATGTAGTCATTTGACTAAAAGGAAGTAAGCAATCTAATTATTAATTGTATTGGCTGTCTTGTCTTAGGAATTGAAATGCACCAGCGGTTGTCAAACATAGAAAGGAATTGGCCTTACTACTTTGGATTTGGCTTGCCCTTGGCTTTCCTCACAGCAATGCAGTCCTCATACATTATCAGGTAATTTGGCCAGAGGGACTTGATGGGGACTAGTAAAAATACTCAGTGTAGGGAGCATCTTCTGTATGCCTGGTGTTATGGTAGGCACTTATTTATAGGCCATCAGGAGGCCTGTAGACTTTTTCTCTTTGACAGATAGACATTTGTCAGCATTAAAATCTAGTCTGCATGATGCTAAATGCCATATTCTTTTATATTGCCTCCCAGAGCAGTGTTTACTGTAGCTAGTGCTTAGGAAAACAAAAAAAGTTTTTTTTGAAGATGTGTTTGATAGATTAAGGTTTCATCAAGCCATGATGTTAGCTCTGGAGGCAAGGGAACTCTGGGCTTCTAATCTCTTCTCCAGAGTCATGGTTGTCATGAAGGTGTCTGTTCCTCTTCTGTTTACAGTGGCTGCCTCTTCTCCATCCTCTTTCCTCTATTTATTATCAGCGCCAATGAAGCAAAGACCCCTGGCAAAGCATAGTAAGTACTAGCCGGTATTAGCTAAAGTGTAGTAAGCTGTGTCTCTGTATAAAGGATCGGGACTATAAGGTCACAATTATAGGAATGAGACTCTTTTTTAAAAAATAATCTCTTACAGTGTAGGAAAGCGTTAATATACACTATGATGAGAGAAGAACACTTTTGGAATATATCCCCCAATTTTCCCCAGGCACATATGCACATATGTTTCAGAAAATCATGCTGTTATACATATTCTTAAAATTTAAGTCACTGAATATAAGGCACTTTAGACACCTGTAGTGAAACCCATTTTTGTAAGAATGGTCAACTTTTTATAGTGGATCATGTGATCTGGCTTACATGAGTTTATTGATAGTGATAGTAAAACAAAGTATTTTTTAATATTTTATTTATTTGAGCGAGAGTATGAGGGGGCCGGGCAGCAGAGGGAGAGGGAGAAGCAGACTCACTGCTGAGCAGGTTCCTCTGGGCTTGATCCCACGACCCTGAGATCATGACCTGAACCAAAGGCAGACGCTAAACTGACTGTGCCACCCGGGTGCCCCAAAACAAAATATTTTAAAATGAATCTTTAGCAGGGTGCCTGGGTAGTGCAGCCGGGTCAGTGTCTGACTTTTGATTTCGGTTCAGGTCATGATCTCAGGGTCGTGAGATCAGGCCCCATGTTGGGCTCCGTGCTGAGCGTGGAGCCCACTTGAAATTCTCTCTCCCTTTTTCTCTGACCTTCCCTCACCACTCGAGCACTCGTTCGTTTGTGCGTGCATGTTCTCTCCCTAAAAACAAATTTAAAAAACAAAATGAAGTGAATCTTCAGCAATAATAATAGCAATCCTAAAGTTTTACCATTTATTTTTTAATATGTATATATTTTTAAATTTATTTATTTGACAGAGACACAGCGAGAGAGGGAACACAAGCAGGGGGAGTGGGAGAGGGAGAAGCAGGCTTCCCGCTGAGCAGGGAGCCCGATGTGGGGCTTGATCCCAGGACCCTGGGATCACGACCTGAGCCGAAGGCAGACGCTTAACGACTGAGCCACACAGGCGCCCCAAGTTTTACCATTTTAAAAAAAGTTTAATCTTTGATCAATTTTGGTTGAGTCAGTGAGGATACATGTATTAGAAATTTCAGATCTGTTTCAGGTGTTTGCTTACTCTTACTACCCTGCAGTGCTTAGTGTAATGGCAGTCTCTGGTGTAATTGGCTTTCCCTTGAAACTCTTGAACATGAAGCACATATAGTATATCTTCAAACATAGCTGGAGGTTTATAAACAGCTACAGAAAAGTACTTCTCCAATCAGAATTAATCTGAAATGTAACTTTATTTCTTCTGAGCCTTTATACTTCAAACGGTGATTCCATTGCATTCATGACAGCAGCTGGACCCAGCGCCTTCTTTAGTTGCTGCCTGTTAACCCGTGTGTCTAAAATCTGTATAGTACTTCCTTGATCAAATTTCAGTTGTCTTGTTTTCCCCTATGTCATTTTAAGTTTAATGTAGTCAGGTAAGTTGTCAAGTAATTAAAACATTAAGTTTGATGAACTGGGGATCTAACAAGTCGGGTCTCTTGCCTTCCAGCCTTTTCCAGCTGCGCCTCTTCTCCTTGGTGGTTTTCTTAAGCAACAGACTTTTCCACAAGACGGTCTACCTGCAGTCCGCCCTGAGTAGCTCGACCTCTGCAGAGAAATTCCCTTCACCGCATCCGTCTCCTGCCAAACTGAAGGCTGCTGCAGGCCACTGAGTCGCCTGCCATCCAGAGGAGATTGGGTGGGTTTGGAAGCAGGCTGTAGAAGCTCTTTTCCTCGTACCCTCCTCTGCCCGGGAACGCAGGACCCGCTCTGCCAAGGGCCCTCTGCCTATTCCAGTCTGAGGAATTGGGACTTTTGTCTCTGGTGCGCTTAAGGCAGAATCTTCCTGACACCAGTGTGTGGATTTTTAACACCGGTGAGTCTGAATGGACCACAGGTTTTTCTGTAGCTCTTTTCTAGCACTTGCCAGCCCCCGTGCCTGGACTGATTGGAATACTGTTTTTGTCCCTGTGCCATTGACCCTCCCAGCTCCCCGTCCTGCCTTCCACCACCCTCGGATGAATGGATTTTGTAATTCTAGCTGTTGTGTTTTGTGGACCTGTTAATTTGTGTTGTTTTTCTGTGAAGCACATGTATTGGATGTGGGAGAGAAAGGAGTATCTCACTTGCTCCCAGCCACTCCCTTCATAGCCATCACTGTCTAGTGTTTCTTGTAACTCAGGTTAGATTCGGGTCTCTCTGGCTCCACTGCAAAAAAACAAGTCTGAAGAGATGGGACAGGAGGAAAGACCTCACAGCCAGATCTGCTGGGTTTGGGGGAGTGATTTTCTTTCTTCCCCTTGAAGGGGAAGAAGCTTTTTCACTGGTACCTTTAAAGTTCCCCAGCTAAAGGGAGGTACCAGTTCTGGACAAGTGCCACCGCAACACCAAATGCTCAGAGACCCTGAACTTGGAACTCGGAAGGTCTGAAGTGTACTGCTGGCCGCTGCTGGGTCTGTCTGGTATTTCAAAGGAATATTGGGTGCTGCAAATAGGAACTGAAGGGGTACACTTATTAAACCCATTAAGCCTGTGATTGGTTGGTGTTTTCCTGTCATTTTAAAGAGACTAAATATGGTGGGGGGGGGCAGATGTCAAAACACTTGTCCAATTTTAAAATGTCACAATTAAACGTGAGCTGGTTTCCGACAAGCGTGTAGTGGTTGAATTTTCAAAAATCATCACCTTGGGAAATGTTAAAAGGGTTAAGTGGAACCACGACTTTGCCTCAGACAATTTGGTTGTAGTTTTGAGAGATTAGTCCTGAAAAGTGTTCCGTGAGGAAGTGTGGATTATGGGATTATAACCATGTTTACATCTTATGATAGAATTGGGAATTGTTTTAAAGTCCCTATGCATGTCTCCTGTGTATTCACGAAGGGAGAGAGGTCCTTTCAGGTTTCAGCGTGTTGAACATTTGCATTAGGGAAGAGATTAGACATTTGGTTAACAGAAACCCTTACTTACAAGATGATAAGGATATAAAAATCCTTGCTGGGAGACCTACAAGCAAGTTCAAAGTACAGGTTTTAGAACAGTGGGCATCTTGGAAGTGGGTGTTGTTAGCAGCTTGTGCACAAGAAATTGCCAAAGACAGAGCTGAAATAAGATGTTGTTCCAGTATTTCTCTGTGACCCCTTTGGTCAGTTGGCCACGTTGCTGTGGGTTGGTTTCAAGAAGACCGCAGTACTTCAGCAGCCGTTACCTTAAGGTGAGTGTAAAGTTTTACAACTGGCTTTGTTCTTTACGGGCCCACATCTTAGCTGCCTGAAATCTGTGTTTGTACCAACTAAGCTGGTCTTAAAGGGTGAGTTGTTCCGTGGATGAAGGCACATGGTTCTTATCCAGCACTGTGCCTCGCTATGGAAAAATGCGCAAAGTCGGAAGCGAGGAGTCTGCAAAGTTTTATTGGTGTAATTGAAATACCAGGCCTGAAATTGAAAGGCCAGGCATATCTGCACTAAAAATCTGACAACCATCTCAAATAAGATGTCCACAAAAGCAGAGTCAATTCCTCTTACATTTTCACTAGGGCGGTGGTTGGGAAATGAGGAGCAAAGGGAGAGTAGGCTCCTTTTTTGCCAAGTTCAGAATGGCAATTGGAGGCAAACTGACAGTAACTGAAAGGAAGGGAGATCGTACTGCTAAACATGAGAGAGCTTGAGTTTTAACCATGCAACCAGGAGGATCTAAGACCTCCTGTTCACAAAAGTCCTTTTCAGGGATAAGCGTCAGCTTGAACAGGCGTATGGGATTCAAAAGACTGCCCTTTTATCCCATCTAGAGCTCAGTTGTCTATGATAGCAACTTGAAAAATTGGAAAGTGGTACTTCAGACCTGAGTATGTTTGCTAAGTCTGTTGGAAACTTTGAAGTGGACAGGTTCGTGTACTGACTTGTTCATTGCTCTGCACTTAGTAAGGAGCCAAGATAAAGTTGAAGAGGAATTGTGACAAACTGGAGCAAACCCAGAAGAAGGCAGTCAGTGGCTAGAGGTTTTTGAACAGCCTTAAAAGGATGACAGGTGTAGGAATAAAAAAGCAATTACAGTTGTCTGTTCACTGTCTATTCATTTTCCATCCTCTTGTATTTTCTGATTATAGAAGTAGGACATTCAGCTTCTATATTCACATGTTTACCTCCATCAGGACTGCTCTGGTAAAGGTTATCAGCTCAGTAGTACAATGGAATAGAACTTTCCCTCCTCCCCATTAATATTCCTCCTATGCTATATGACCCACAGAAGTTAAAATGAAGTTGACTTCAGGTCAGTGCAACATGCCTTTTAAACAATGACAGCCATGCATCAGTGAGGTATGTTGGATGGACCTAAAGTGAGTCCATAGAGCCAGTCAAGGATCAAGTGGGGAATGGATGACTTCATCATGTAACATTTAAGTGCCTTATCTGTTGGGCACTTTGCAAAGCACTGGGGGATTCAAGGGTGAACCAGAAAGATGATTACTGTCCTCTTGGACCTAAACATGGAGAGTGACAAGTGATAAAGCAAATTTTTAAAAATAACACAATCAGGGCACCTGGGTGGCTCAGTCGTTAAGCGTCTGCCTTCGGCTCAGGTCATGATCCCAGGGTCCTGGGATCGAGTCCCACATCAGGCTCCCTGCTCTGCGGGAAGCCTGCTTCTCCCTCTCCCACTCCCCTTGCTTGTGTTCCTGCTCTCACTATGTCTCTCTCTCTGTCAAAAAAATAAAATCTTTAAAAAATAAAATAAATAAAAAATAAAAATAACACGATCAAAATGCTGCTACTTTCCCTAGGTCTCAAAGCTAGATATAAAACATTGGATTTCAGGGAATCTCAGGGTGAGAGGTCAGGCTATACATTCAGCCTCCTATTCTTGTACTCATCTGATTTCAAATTTAAATCTTTTGTAGTGCTTTAGATAAGTAGTTCTGGATCAGCATCAGAATTATCTCTGGAGCTTTCCCTAAATACACATACTACCTGACCCTGGAGGAAATTTAATTCCAGAAAAAAAAGTAACTTTAAAAATTCTAATAACTACTCTAGGGGCGCCTGGGTGGCTCAGTCGTTAAGCATCTGCCTTCGGCTCAGGTCATGATCCCAGAGTTCTAGGATCGAGCCCCACATCAGGCTCCCTGCTTGACGGGAAGCTTGCTTCTCCCTCTCCCATTCCCCCCGGCTTGTGACCCCTCTCTCACTGTCAAATAAATAAAATCTTAAAAAAAAAAATTCTAATAACTACTCTCATAGAAATTTGGGAAACTATTGCATCCGTAAAGTAAGAACAGATTGTTGTGAAAAGGGGACAGAATAGGAAAGTTCTCAGAACTTAAAACAGTTGTGGAAGTAAATGAAATGGCTTATAAAAGTGATAGATGTGCACAGACATTTCTACAAAGAAGACCTACAGATGGCCAAGAGACACATGGAAAGATGTTCAACATCATAATCAGGGAAATGCAAATCAAAACTACAATGAGACATCACCTCACACTTGTCAGAATGGTTAAAATAAACACAAGAAACAAGTGTTGGTGAGGATGGAGAAAAAGGAACCCTTGTGCACTGTTGGTGGGAATGCAAACTGGTGCAGCCACTGTGGAAAACAGCATGGAGTTTCCTCAAAAAATTTAAAAATAGAACCACCCTATGATATCCAGTAATTGCACTATTGGGTATTTACCAAAAAAAATACAAAAATACTAATTCAAAGGGATGCATGCACCCTAATGTTTATTGCAGCATTATTTACATTAGCCAAACTCTGGAAGCAGCCCAGGTGTCCTTTGATAGGTGAATGGATATATATACATACATACAGTGGGATATTATTCAGCCACAAAAAGAATGAAATCTTGCCATTTTCAATGACATGGATGGAGCTAGAGAATACGATGCTAAGTGAAATAAGTCAGAGAAAACAAATACTATATGATCTCACTCATATGTGGAATTTAGAAACAAATGAGCATAGAAAAAAGACAAACCAAGAAACAGACTCTTAACTATAGAGAACAAACTGATGGTTACCAGAGAGGAGGTGGGTGGGTGGCTGGGGGAGATAGGGGAAGGGGATTACGCATCATGAGAAAAAGATTAAATGATAAAGTATATAAAAAAGTGACACTGAAGAGCCTAAATTAGAGAATTGCAAGATAAAACTGAGGAAATTTCTCAGAATATAATGATCAAGACATGGAAAAAGTTAATCATGGAAATGTCCAAGAATCAGGAGGTCTGACACTTGTCTAAATAGCACCTTCAGAAATGAGAATGGGAACATGGAGACAGGAATAAAACCAAAGAAAATTTCCTGGACTGGTGATGAAATTGGTGTTTTCAGCTAGAAAGAGTCTGCAGAGAGTAAAGGTGAAAATGAGAGCAAAAATGAAAGGAAAACACACCTGGATGGGGTCTCTAAGGAAAAGTCATTTATCAGAGAGAAAAACAGGTTACTTACAAAGGACTGTGATTCACATGGGCATTAGACTTCTCAAGAACAACTCTAGATAACAGAAGGTAAAATTGTAATGCCTTAAATAGGATGCTTTTTCGTGTGGTCATGTGTATAGGAGATGTGTGGGTCCCCATTTTGTTCCCATAATTCTAGCTATCTTATAAAGGGCAAAACAAAGGCATCGTTTGCTTTCCATTCAGCTTTTCTGAAAAAGTTACATGAAAAATCTATCAAAGGGAAAAATAGATCCAAGAAATAGATGACTAATTAAAAAGCACCCAACCAAACACGAAACAGTGAAAAAGATGCATTAGGAAGAAATCTTGATAATGTAGCTTTGCAGCACATTTGGAAAAGAAGATTCTGGGGAGAGAATCCTCAGGAAGAAAATAAATACTGTTACTCTGGTGTGCCTCAGATGAAATGAAGGCATGTAAAAGAGGTAAGTCGACACTTCAGGAGAGACCAGGAGCTCCATAGGAATGATCTGACTTGTACAAAGCAAGCAAAAATAGCATTATTCTAAGCAAGTGATGGAATAGTAAAAATAGTGTTTCTGAAAGAACCAACTCAAAACTTTTGGTCCAATAAAGCAGGAA